GGTTAAGGACACGGGATTCCCCGGTGGCTGACAGTGGTTTGAGTCCCAGACCTGGCAGCTTGCCTTCTCACTGCTCCCACCCCTGCCCCTCACTCTATCCCTCTCTGGTCAAATAAAATAAAATAAATAAATAAATAAAGTTAAATAAAATAATTCCTTAAAAAAAAAAGCATAACCATAATGCCATTGTTATTGTACCTAAAACATGAACACATACACGAGTACATATGTACATGTACATATTGACCTTATGGTCAGTTTGTTCAGATTAGGATTTAAACAAAGTCTACGTGTACATAGCTGCTGTGTCTCTTGGTTATCTCTTTTTTTTTAAGAATTATTTTATTAACTTTATTTAAATTTGACCAGAGAGGGACAGAAAAAGAAATGAGAGAAAGCAAGCTGCCAGGTTTGAGACTTGAACCACGGTCAGCCATGTGGGACTCCAGTGCCCTTAATCACCATGCCACCTACTGGCCACATATGTCCTTTTTTAAGGTTCTTCCCATAGGGTGCATGCCCTTGCCAGAGAGAGACAGAGAGACAGTGAGAGGGAAAGTGAGAAATCACCCCCCAAAGGAGATGGCCATGCCACAATCTCTTCTCCTCCATTCTTCTCCTGGGACTTTGGGTATCCACACAGACATACCTGGTGTGATTTTCAGGTTTCCAGGTCCAGGACTCAAACCACAGAAACCACGATAGGCCATGTAGGAATCCTGTGCCTTAACTATTATTTTTTTTTGGAATGATCTATTTATTTTTAATTATCATTATTATTATTCTTTTTAGTTTGCAACAAGGCTCATGTGCTCACCAGAGAGAGATAGAGACAGAGAGAGAAAGTGAGAACACAAGCTCCCAGGTCCAGGACTTGAACCATGATCAACCATGTGGTAGTCCAATGCCTTAACCACACACCCTGCCAGTCCCCAGTGCTTTAACTATGTTACCTGTTGGCTCCAGATACTTTAATCTTCCTTTTTGTTCTCTGAAATCTATTTGTTGAAGAAATGCTTCCTCCAGACCCTTTCAAGAGGAGTTTGGCTCTATGTTCTTGAACATATTCCTGCCTGGCACCTGTAACAGGCATGCCCATACCTGCTTGTCTGTTCGTGATCAGTTTGAGCCACAGTTCAGAGCAGTTGCCCAGACGGCCATGGCTGTCACCCCAGTCCTTACAGTGCCTTTCCATTTGACTCCATTTGCAGAGCTGGAACCCTTGGTTTATAATTCACTTCTCTGAACTTTTGGAAAAGACCCCAGAGACAGCCCTTCATGTACAGGGTATCTGGAGTAAGGGTGACAACGTGATTTCCCTACTGCATAGGGTTACCATGACGACAGATGCTTATCCACGTGTGCCATACTATCACTGAGTGAGAGGCAGGGCTGGCGGATGTTTCTAACCTTGGAGGAGAGGAGGGGAGGAGAGGTTAGAGAAGGTACAGCCAGACCTTAGCAGTGAAGTCCCAGGTCCAGGGGTGTCTATGTGTGTGTGTGTGGGGAGAGGACAGGGGCCACCTACAAAAGCATCCCTGCTGAGGACCCTCAGGATTCCATAGGATCGAGTGGCTTTGACTCTGAATGCCCCACTGAGACCTCATTGTCTGGCCCCAGCAGGGGAGAAGAGGCAGGACAGAGTGTATGCAAGAGTCCTGTAGATAGAAATCTTCTTAGGATCAGGTCAGCAGGGAAGCTGTGCATCAGGGGCTTTGTTAGTTGATGACTGAGTCCCAGGCACGTTTAACAGGTGCATAAGGAAATAAACCATTCATTAAGTAAATAACCAGGAAGGCAAATGCCAAACCCAGCCAGCCCTAGGGGCTATCCATGCCCAGCTAAGTCTATCACTTTCATTGAGGTGCTAATACTTCCAGAATCCCCAAGCAGGGCAGTTTGGGCTCTGACTTAGGATTTTCATTGGTTAGAAATACCTGGCCATCCTGCTTCCTGGGGTGAGAGGAGAGGGTTGGTGATTTTACGAATCAAAGCACTAAAGCACACCAAAATCCAGAGTAAGGGTTCACTAATCAGTTTGCATAAGAACTACTACTTAGGCACAAATGAAACAGTGACTTTACCAATTGGGTTTCGCTGTCTACAGTTTCTGCTCTGGTTTTTGGACATTTATCTGAACCTAATTTTCTAAAAATAATGATTTATTTTATTTTATTTATTCATTCATTTATTTTTCATTTTCCCAGAGAGACACACGCACAGAAAGAGAGAGAGAGACTGAAAGCAAGCTGCCAGGTACGGGACTCGAACAGTAGGCAGCCATGTGGGAGTGCCCAGCACCTCAACCACCACTCCACCTGCTGGTTCCCTCAACCATTCTTTTTAGCCAAGGGGTTTTTAAATACTGATGATAATACTCTACCCAAACACACAGTTTAAAACTGGCTGGTAATAATGAAGAGTAGTCCTCAGGACTGTAGATTTCAAATGTTCTTAACACAATTAGCACACACGCGCACACGCGCACACACTATGCTTGCATTCAAGAGTACTTCCAAAAGTTCATGAAAAAAAAAAAGGAACTATGAGTTTATTTCAGCAAAACATTTCGAAATCCATGGTTCGTTTTTTCATAATATACATTTTCCATGAACTTTTTAGAGACCCCCCAACCCCCACAGTCAAATAACATGCCCACATGCAGTCCAGATCCCTCCCTTCGTACTGCAGACCTTAAAGGGCCTGGCTCCCAGCAACCCCAACTCTCTCCGGACATTTCCTTGAGTTTGACTCGGCTAGTCCCTGAGCCTGCACTGGCTGCAGCCTCTCCTCTTCCTGGACACATCCCTGATTTCATCTCATCCCTAGGCAAATCAATACCCAATTTCGGCGTCTTTCTTCATTCAGCACATGCTGAGATTTGGGAGCAGGGATTAGGGACAGCGTTATTTCCTGCCTTGGTGGTCTCAGCCCACAGAGAGAAGAGGCATACAGACCATGACTATAGCATAGGATGGATAAAATTCACGTTTTCATTTACCCAATACTTAGTTCATTTATTATACCGTAATAAGGTCTATCTTATTACAGTAATTCACATTGGCCTTACCCTTCCCACTAGATTAGTAGTGCCAAACTTTCCCGTATAAGAATCACTTGGACGGAACCAGCAGTTAGCGTAATAGCTATGTCGCTGGACTCCCATGTAGTTGACCATGGTTCACGTCCTGGACCCAGCGGCTTAAAACTCACGCCCAGCACGTGTGCATGTGTGTGACTGTGTGTGTGTGCCCAAGATCCCAAGAGGAGAATGGAGAAGGGATTGAGGAGTGGCCATCCCCCCTGGGGGGTGATTTCTTGCTTTCTGTCTCTCTGGTGAGCACAAGCCCCATAGCGGATAAAACCTCTCCAAAAAAAAAAAAAAGAAATCACTTGGAGAACTAATTAAAAATGCTAAACCCAGAGGCATACCCCTAGGGTGGGTTAGGGGTGCTCTGTTTCTTGCTACTCAACTGCAGTCCAGGAACCAGCAAGCAACCCCCAGAAGCTCCGTAGAAATGAGGAATCTTAAGCACCTACCCTGAATCCTGAATGAGAACAGCATCTTCACAGATTCCCAGGAATTCAGACCTACATCAGACTGAGAGCCAGAGTCAAGCTCCATGCTTCTCCAACTTGCCTGAGACTCACAGTTAGAAAAGCATTTTACACTTGATCCCCAGCAGATCCAAATGTCCTCATCTGGAACAACCTTCACAGAACAAGCTCACTCTTCCTTGATTCCCATCAATTCCTATTCTTCTTGGCACTAACTCTTTTTTCCATTAGTGTTGGTTTGACCACTCAGTTGGTCTCCTAGCCCACTAAGATATTACAAACCTTGCAACTCATCACTTGAAAAATGCCCCTCTTGGGAACCAGCAGTTAGCATAATGGCTATGTTGCTGGATTCCCACGTAGTCGACCACAGTTCGCGTCCCGGACCCAGTGGATTAAATCTCATGCCGGGCGCCTGTGTGTGCGTGCCCAAGATCTCAAGAGGAGAATGGAGGAGAAGGGATTGCGGCATGACCATCCCCTCTGGGGGGTGATTTCTCACTTTCTGTCTCTCTGTCTCTCTCTTTCTGTCTGGCAAGCGCACGCGCCCTATAGCAAAAATCTCTCCAAAAAAAAAAAAAAAAAAAACAACGCCCCTCTTGGGACCAGCAGTAGGCGTAATGGCTATGTCACTGGATTCCCATGTAGTTAACAGCAGTTCTAGTCCTGGACCCAGTGGCTTAAACTCACGCTGGGAGCGTGTGCGTATATGCCCAAGATCCCGAGAGGAGAATGGAGAAGGGATTGCAGTATAGCCATCCCCTCCGGGGGGTGACTTCTAGCTTTCTGTCTCTCTTGTCTCTCTCTGTCTTTTTGGCAAGTGCACGTGCCCTATAGCAAAAACCTCTCCAAAAAAGAAAAAGAAAAGAAGAGAAAAGAAAAGAAAAACACCCCTCTAATGCTTGAACCTCATTAGCTGTTAGCCATGCCAGAGATGGATCAGAAATTTGTTCACCTAGGGCAGAGGTCACATCTATGTATTTCATTTTTCTTTTATTCTTGGGAAGGGGTGAAGCGGGAGAAGAATAGGTATCTTTATGGGCAGAAGTTCGGTAGCTCTGGAGAGAGCTGGCTAGAGACTCCGCTGGTTAAGCAGCCTCCCCCTTGAGCTCTGGAGGGAGGCGCTCTGCAGGAGGTGTGGGTAAGGGAGCTGGTCCTCCCACTAGGGGGCCCTTCCTGTGCTAAGGGAGAGATGTACTCACCTTCAGAGAGCCCCACTGACCGCTTCCCTTGCTCTGTGACCTGGAGGCTCACGGGAATGTCCAGAAACTTCTCATAACAGTCTCCATACCACACAAGGAGCTCTTGGTTCTGGTAGATCTCCTTGCAGCTCTCATAAAATATCTGCCCTTGACACTGCACAGCGACTAGGTTCTGCTCCTTGGGGAAGCGGGCACAGTTGACGTAGGACATCCAATTCCCCGCACCTCCTTTTCCATCTATAAAGTGGCTCAGATGACCATCTTCAAAGATCTATATGAAGTACGATAGGAAGTTGAGTGCACTTTTTTTTTTTTTGCCTAACCTAAAATAAATTTATTAAAAATGTATCATCTAGGGGCCGGCAGGTGGTGTTGTGGTTAAGGGCACTGGATTTCTATCCTATATGGCCAACTGCAGTTCTAGTCCCAGACCTGGCAGCTTGCTTTCTCGCTTTCCCTCTCTGGTCAAATATAAATAAATAAATAAAGTTAAATAAAATGATTCTTAAAAAAAAGTTATAATCTAGGGGCAAGCAAGTGGCACAGAGGTTAAGGCAGCTGGTTCCCACATGGCCAACTGAGCCATTCCGGTCCTAGACCCAGCAGCTTGAAAAACACACCTGTGAGGAAAATGAAGGAAGAAAGAGACTATGGGGTGGCCATGCCCCTGGGGGTGATTTTCACTTTCCCCTTCTGTCTCTCTCTCTCCAATGAGCATATATGCTTTATGGTAAACTTAAAAAAAAAATGTATAATCCAAATTTCACACTTGAAGGCATTGAATATATTTCTGAATGGCAATTCCTGGGGGTGATTTTCACTTTCCCCTTCTGTCTCTCTCTCTCCAATGAGCATATATGCTTTATGGTAAACAAAAAAAAAAATGTATAAACCAAATTTCAAACTTGAAGGCATTGAATATATTTCTGTATGGCAATTTCTACATAATTACAGGTAGGATACAAATCTTAAGCCTAAATAGATTAAAAAATGAGTCCAGCAACATAGAGCCTGGCATTACTATTGTGGGTCCCAAAACAGATCTATTAACTTTTCCATAGGTGACATGACTTTTTTAAAAAAATGCTTACCTTTATCACTCTCTTGATTCTTACATTTCAGTATAAATTTCATAATCAGAATCAGAAGTAAGAGAAACAATGAGGTCATATTAATTTCATCACTCATCAACTGGTTAGTTTTGGATCTCATCTACACTTTTTGTTTGTTTGTGAGGTTTTTGTCATAGGGTGCGAGCACTCACCAGAGACAGTGAGGGGAAAGAAGTCAGCCCAGAGGGGAGATGGCCACACCACAATACCCCCACCCCTCCTCCTCCTGTGGTTTTTTTTGGAGAGGTTTTCGCTATAGGGCGTGTGCACTCGCCAGACAGACAGAGACAGAGAGACAGAAAATGAGAAATCACCCTTCAGAGGTGATTTCACCACAATCCTTTCTCCTCCATTCTCCTGCAGGATCTTGGGCACGCACGCTCAAGCGCCCAGAGTGAGTTTTAAGCCACCGGGTCCGGGACACGAACCGCGATCGGTCAACTACGTGAGGGTCCAGCAACATAGCCATTACGTTAACTGCTGGTCCCCTCCTCCTGGGATTTTGAGCACACGTGCATGTGCTCCTGGTGTGATTTTCAAGCCATCAGGTCTGGGCCTCAAGTTGAGGTTGCCATGTGGGAGTTCAGTGTCTCAGCCACCATGCCACCTGCTGGGCCCCCCATACCTAATTTTTAGGCATTGATGGAACCAGAATTTAATTCACTCAAGTTGCTGGCAATTTCACAATTTCTGATGTTTTATTATAAACAGTGATTAATAACCTCCACATAGGTTATATTTCAGATTATTTTCCTAAACTATATTTCTAACAGTAGAAATTCAGGGTCAAGGGGTTTTGAACATTTCAAAGTATGTAATGCATTCTGAAAAACACTTTTTCCCCGAGGGTGACAAACTACGTAGTCTCCCCAGCATGCCTCATACGGCTTCATTTGAAGCTTAAAGATGGTTGCTTTTTGAAAATCTTGAGCTAATCTCACAGGCAAATAAGAGTAAATTTAAAAATCCATTTTATCTCTTTGAGCATACTCTCAGCACACTCTAAAATTTAAAGCATTTGGTTTTGTCTGTAAATATCTCACAATGTATCACTTCTTTTTTATATTTTAAGAATCAATTAACTGCATTTATTTATTTAATTAATTTTGATTTGACCAGAGAGGGTCAGAACAAGACAGAGTGAGAGAGGGGGAGAGAGAGAGAGAGAGAGAAAGTGGGAAAGCAAGCCACCAGGTCTGGGACACTAACCATACTAAGCCATGTGGGAGTCCAGTGCCCTCAACTACTACGCCACCTGCTGACTCCTCAATTCCTTTTTTTTTTTTAAATGTTGGAAGCCGATCCTTTTTTTTTTTAATTTATTTTTTGGGGGAGAGATTTTTGCTATAGGGCGCATGCGCTCGCCAGACAGACAAAGACAGAGAGACAGAAAGCAAGAAATCACCCCCCAGGAGGGATGGTCACGCCACAATCCCTTCTCCATTCTCCTCTCGGGATCTTGGGCACGCATGCACACACGCCCGGCGTGAGTTTTAAGCCACCGGGTCCGGGACGCGAACCGTGGTCAACTACATGGGAGTCCAGGGACATAGCCATTACGCAAACTGCTGGTTTCCCCTCAATTCCTTTTTTTAGAAGAAGTATTTATTTGAGACCAGCAGATGTCATAATAGTTTCATCGCTGGATTACCATGTAGTCAACCATAGTACAAGTCCTAGACCCATGGGCTTAAAACTCACTCCAGGCATGAGTGAGCGTGCATGCGTGTGTGTGTGTGTGTGTGTGTGTGTGTGTATGTGTGTCCAAAATCCTGAAAGGAAAGTGAAGGAGAAGAGTTGAGGCATGGTCATTCTCCCGGGGATGATTTCTTGTTTTCTGCCTCTTTCTGTCACTCTAGTGAGCACAAGTACCCTGTAGCAAAAATCTCTTAAAAAAAAAGAGAGGAAGAAAGAAAGAGAGAAAGAAAGGAAGGAAGGAAGATGAAGGCCAGCAGGTGGCGTAGTGGTTGGGTGTCCTGGACTCCCACATGGCTGACTGTGTTTCAAGTCCTGGACCTGGTGGTTTGCTTTCTCGCTCTCTCTCTCTCACCAAACAAAATAATAGTAATAAAGATTAATAAAATAAAATAATTTTTTAAAAAGAATTATTTGATTTGATTTATCATCATCATCGTTATTTTAATTTGCTACAGGGCACATGCGCTCACCAAAGAAAGAGAGAGAGATGGGGAAACATGAGAAAGCAAGCTACCAGGTGAGGACTCAAACTGTAGTCAGCCACTTGAGGGGCCACCACTTTAACCACTACAACCAGCTGCTGGCTCCTCAATTCTTTACACTTTCTGTTTCTGTGCCTCTGGCAAGTGCACACACCGTGTAGCAACAATCTCCCTTATAAAAAAATAAAAACATGATATATGTACATACACACATTCTATAGTCAATCTTCAGACTGAAATGACAGAAAACACCACAATCCAGAATTAACCAGTGTTATCTTCATGGAGTGAACACCTGACATCCTTTCCGCCACAGCCTGCAAAGAACTGCCCTGCATGTTCCCTCTGCCTGACCAGAACTCCTTCTGATGGTCACAGACCAAGATTTCCCCCACAGCCACCCTCCCCACTGTCAGCAGACCCACCACAGAAACTTTACCTCCCACATCAGAGAATTGTCCCCATAGGTCTTAACTTCACTGGCATTGACCACTTTTCCTTGAAAGGGACCGAAGCGGACTCCTTTGTCGATGAAGCCACTGCAGAACACGCTGAAATGTGGGACGTCACCAAACACCGTCTGCATGAGGCAGAGACCTGGGGGGAGGGCCACGGCAGAAGAAAAGTGTGAGGAGAGTAACTCTACAAAACCCCAGGAGAGAAATGCAAGCCCTGAGTCCTGCCTACCTTCCGGAAGTTGAAGGGAGTCCTTATCCAGAGTTTGAGGAAGAGAATCAGGCCCTAGGACAAGGCAGCATTGAACATTGTTTTCATTAACGACGGCCTGTGAAATGCTTTTGTAAGGCATCTCCTTATTCCCTCGAGGTAACCAGCATCCTGGGTTGATGGTGATTTATCTTTGATATTTTCCAGCTCCTTTCACATGAACTTTTTTCTACAATTGCTCATTTGAGTCTCTTTGAACAACCTTTTGCAAGATTATGCAAAGAACTCCATGTAGCAAATTTAAGGAGCTTGAGACTCAAAGATAACATGGGCCAAAATCAAGGCAGATGGCGAGGGGGACCACGAGTGCCTGAGCCTGCCATGAGATAGCCTTGCGCTTCCGGTAGAATCAGACCCTAGGCAGAAATGCCACTGCGGAACCGTTTTTCTCCTGGTCCTCAGCTCTCACTAAAACCAGTCTCAGGGATCATGCAATAAAGCCAGCAGGCTCTGGGGTGAGCTGAGACCGTCCCAGATACCCTGGCCCCTCCTGCTCCATACCCAACCCAAATTCCAAACGACCTGGGCCCCTTTACCAGAGTTGTCTGCGGGGACCAGGAGGCCTGAAATCGCATGCTGCAGACGGGCCGGGTTCTCCAGGCTGGGCGCGACCCCGTACAGAACGAAGTGCAGGTCCTCCTCGGTGAAGTGGAAACGAGGTGACCTCCCCTCTTGGTTCAGGGGCTTGGGGCCATCTTCAGACCACTTGCTGGGAAGGCAAGATAATACCTGGGAGGTCTTCGGGCCCTCAGGTAACACGGAAGCATCCACCGGAGGCGGAGGGATTAAAGTTTCGGGTCCCAAACACTGACCACTGTCGCTGAGGCCACCAGTTCGGCCGGAATCTTCACCGCGGGCGCCGGTGAACTCGCGGCTGAAGTTCAGGAAGTGCGGCACCTCCCGGGGCAGGTGAGGAATTGGGTACCACGGTGGCAGCTTGCCATACCAGGGAAGATCGTAGAGCGGCTCCCTCGGTACTGCCAGGCCCGGGCTCAGCAGGGGCGAAGCCACCCGGAAGGCGAGCTGGGGCATGATCTGGGACGCAGGCACCGCGGCCTCGGGCTGCGGCCAGAAAGGCTGGAAATCGTCGCCCGCAGTGGCTAGCGGGTTCCTGTAGTGGCCAAAGGCGGGGAAAGGCGTGTCGAAGGCGGCTAGGTGTTGGGGGCTGCCCTGGAGCCTCTCGGGCGGGTAGCACACCTTGTCCTGGGTCGCGGCCTCACCTGGCGGCTGTAGAGCCATCCCGGACCAGGGCGCTCGGAGGACCTGCGGGAAAGCAAGCCGAGCTGAGCGCTCCGGCCGGGGCTGCGGCGGCCCCCGCCCTGTCCTGCCTGCCTGGCCTCCTGCCCCCGAGCCAGTCTTAGGGCACTGGCTAAACCGCCCCGAGTCGATCCGCCAGCCCTATCCCACAAGAACAAACAAACAAACAAACAACAAAACAGCAATAACAAACACAAAAGCCTCAAACGAGTCTGCCGGGATCCCGCCCAACTCCAAGTTCCTGGTGAGCGTCGCCTTCACCTTCCCTCCCCAAACACACCGCGACCAGGCAGGGCTGGCTTCCAGAGCCGCCCGGCGCTCGGCCCCGGGCCCGGCTCCTGCAAAGCGCACTTCAAGTTCCCTCCCCTCCTCGGTCTAACAAAACCCAACCGGGTCGAGACCGCGAGGCTCGCGCATGGGATCCCGCCCAACTCCAAGTTCCTGGTGAGCGTCGCCTTCACCTTCCCTCCCCAAACACACCGCGACCAGGCAGGGCTGGCTTCCAGAGCCGCCCGGCGCTCGGCCCCGGGCCCGGCTCCTGCAAAGCGCACTTCAAGTTCCCTCCCCTCCTCGGTCTAACAAAACCCAACCGGGTCGAGACCGCGAGGCTCGCGCATCCCCGGGCTGGAGCAGGGAGCTGAACTCCAGGCGGTCCGGGGGCTCCACGGGCCCCGCGCTAGGAGCGCAGGGCCGAGC